GAGAAGAGTTGTTTGATCTACGTTAAATAGGGGCTATCCTTAAATAATTAATATTTGGTTGTCGGTAAAATGATCATGTCGGTAAAGTAATTGTAGGTAAAGTGGTTGTCGGTATAATGATCGTGTCGGTAAAATGATCGTCGGTAAAATGATCGTCGGCAAAATGTTTGCCGATTAAATTAACGGGTCCCAAAACTAATAGTTTTTCTATGATACCTGATATAGGTTTAATTAGTATATAAGTACCGCAATGCAACGTAACATTAAAGTTGATCGGCAACAATGTAAAATTAACAACATTGTTTGTATTATTTAAAAAATTTTTTTAATGTTACATGAATTACTCAAGTTTTTCTTTTTACCAAGAATTTTTATTATTTTACAAAAAATTAAAAAAAAAATCAAAAATGCAAGATAACAATAATTCAAATGAGTGGATTAATTGGATGGAGGAATATATTTTAAGAAAAAATATCAAAAGCTACGAATTCAAACATTTTAACAATGTTCAAAAGCTCGGTACTGGCAACTTTGGAACGGTCTATGGTGCAAATTGGAAAAATTCAAAACAACTAAACACAAAGGAAAAAATATGGAGTACCAGCTGGTTAAATCGTGGAAAAGTCAGGATTCATTTAAATGAAGAAACCAATATCTAATCCAAGTATATTACGTATTCCTGAATAAGTAATTATCGTTATGCGCTTTCAATTTATGATAAAAAAATTCGCTATGCCATAAATAAAATCATAGAATCTAACCGAAAATGCGATTAATCGATTTTAAAATCTTTTCTTTTTTTTTTGACTTCAGCTACATTGGTAAAGTTTTATTAATTAATTCATTAATTTTTTAGAAATACGGAAGGTTTTTTAATTTTTGTTTCCATTTATTTTGAGTTTTTTTTGATTGTCAGGTTTAGGACGTCGATTTCTTTATTTTATTTTTATTTTCAGAATTTGCCTTTTTAGGTTCCTCTTTTGGGTTGTTTTGCTTCTTTTGATGAAGTGAATCGAAATAACACCTTCAGGCCTTCCTAGTTGATATTATTAAACAAACGCTAGTTTATAAATATGAAAAATGATTTACATAGTTATTATGATAACATTTGCAGGATAAATTAATAGTTTAAAAGAGTATAAACGTCATTTTCAAAAGATTTAAGGTATTGAATCAGTAAACAAATTTGTTAACAAAGGATTTGATCTTAATGATTATACTTAAAAGTGGTATATAAAATTATATTACAAGCTCCTTAATTATTTGTCTTCTATTTCTTTAATTAAAAAGTATCATATTTCATGCTTCATTCTATGTTTGTTTCGACGTGAATGCGCCCTAATTTTTCTACTGTCCGCAGACTGGAATTTGAACCCTCCTCGAGAGGTAGTAAACATAGAATTTTTTCTTCAAAATCTCACTGCGATTCACTTCCAATGAAAATTGTATTTTAACTTTTTTTATTTTCTTAATTTCGAGACCCTTGGATCGAAGAATAATCCAACGAAAATTGCGCGATTTAAATTTTTTTTTTTTTTTTTATCTTCAATAAGGACCCTCCGCAAGACTTATCTTAGGATTGAAGATATAAGTTCCGTTCCTAAAAAAAAGAATTGAATTTACACAAGTGAAAGGTTATGGTTAACGGTTGGTCAAAGATCTTTAACCAACCGACTATAATAAATTTTTGAATTCATCATGTAATGATATATATTTATTGAATTCATTGTAGCGTTGTTTTAGGCATTTTTAATAACTTTATCTAATATACAATTACTTGTTTATATTTAAAGTCTACTCTTAAAGTTATCAAGAATGTGATTTTATAAAAAAAACGCCAAATTGAATTCCACATAAAGAAAGAACTGTTGCTGAAAGCATGTGAAACACGTTTTTTTACGAAACGTCGGACAGTAATAACTTTTATTAAAAGAAAAAAATGTCATGTAGGTCTTTATACAATGATTAAAGAGCTACAGAAAGAACATCAGAATGTTGACTTTCAAGTTAAATGTATTGTTCGTGGTAAACAATCACCATCAAGAAAAAAGGCTTCGATTGATAGATAGCAAAGAATTATGACTATTGTTAATGACAGAGAAAATCATTCAGTAATGGACTTTCTCCGTGGGATCACGCATAACCTTTCATTGTAGTTAATTATTCTTAGTTTTCTTGCTGGTTATTAGCTTTTATTTTTTTAACATTTTATTAATTACAAAATCAAGTTCAACTTAATTAATTTGCAAAGGTGTTATAAATAATAATATTTAAATTTAATTGTATAATCATCACTTCTAGGATATTAAGTGTCAGGATTTTGTAGACCTGTCTGGGTACGAATGAAGTTTCCATTTAACTTTTTTTTTTTTTGTTTAATTAAAATGAATTTTTGATCTTCTATACTAAATCTGGCTAATCGGGAATAAAAAATAATTGATTGCTCAGAAATACAGAAATAATAAGTTAATCTTGCGCCCCTAGTTCCTCTTCAGTACGGATCGATATTATTGTTTAAATTTTTAATTTTTATTTGGTATCGAATATTTAATTTCTTGTAATATTTTTTTCTAGATTTGGATTAGTTGGTTTTTTTTTTCGCCTTTGAAAATTTCAGGTTGCAGCGATAGATAGATGGTTCGATTTATGATTGGTTAGGTTTTATTCTTTACATTTTATTCTTTTTAATTATTGACTATTCTAATTTATTTTCTTTTAGGTTCTTTTAGTTTTACTTTCATTTTTAATATTATTATTTTATATTAAAATATTTTCAATAAATATTTTTTTTTTAGGTATTCTTTTGCTTCGGGGCACAGTGACTGAATGATTTCTTATTTTTTTTTCGTTCTTTAGGTTCCTTCGGGTTAGTTCGCTTCCGATAGTTTTTGACAGCGTGGTGTGGGTGGACACGCTTCACGCCTCTCTAGTCTCCTAAGAAGGCGCAAAAATTTCTTTGTGTAAATATTACGATACTTTGACCGAATGAATATTTCTTTCTATATAGATAGAACTGATTTTTAAATTGTAATTTGTCACAAAGAAAAATGATCAACGCCTCTCGTCCGATATAATATGCAATGTTTTTTTTTTTTTTTGTTTTAACATTTTAACCTAATTTTTTTAATAAATAAAAATAAATTGTATTAATTCTTAAATATTGTAAAACGAAAATCGGGGTGATTTTCGTCATTTATTCACTCCATTGTATTAGTTTCATCATTTTCGTTCTTTGAAATATTGTAGAATTGTTGTAAGGTGGAATTTACCTCAATAAAAATGAGAATTTCAAAGGATTGGCAATAGATTTTCGATTCAACTCCATATATCCAATTTTAGAAAGCAATTAACTTTATTTGGTATGATAAGAAGCGGTTAGATCCTTTTTAAGTTATCCGTTTACATTATTTAAGGGAAATATACAGTTGGAAAAAATTTAAACCGAGGGCTGAGTTTTTTACTTGAAAAATTCTATGCGAGAAAAAAAAAATGGTTTTAAAGAACAATTTAGAAAAAAATCTAAAAGACTTGGAAACGAGAATTAAGGAACTAGAGCAAAGTAACGAAGAGTTCCGTTCACAATTCAAGTATTTAGAAGAAAAAGATAGAGAGCGAGAAGAAGAAACCAAAGCAAATATTAATAATTTAGAAAAAAAGATTAGAGAACGAGAAGAAGTATCCAAAGCAAAGCAAGGAGTTTTTAATGAATTAGAAAAGAGAATCAGTAATCTTGAATTAACGTTAATTACTTATGATGATACTATTGATAGTTTAACTATTACAGATATTAATAAGAATGACATATTGAACACCCTTGGCGGATTGCAAAGATATCGAAAATTGACAAAACTCTGTTGTAATAAAGCTCAAATAACAAAAATACCAACATTACCTAACTCCTTAACAATACTCGATTGTCATAAGACTAAAATAAATAGCTTACCAACATTACCTAAC